CGTCAGTTTGTACCCAACTACAGTTTGACTGCCGCTCCGCTCACCAACATCCTGCGCAACAAAGCCTTCGCTTCGAAACGTGCACGCAAGCTTCCTATCCCGTGGTCCGTAGCTGAGGAAGACGCCTTCCAGTCTTTACGAGAAACGTTGGCTTCCCCGAAGGTCCTTGCTTTCCCTGACCTTGAGCGTCCGTTCGAACTGCACACGGATGCTAGCACGCTGGGTGTAGGAGCTTCGCTTATGCAGACAATCGATGGTGTCACCAGAGCGGTGGCGTTCGCGAGCCACCGGTTTTCACAAACCGATGCTAGACGCGGGCCCACGGAACGAGAATGCATGGGGGTCCTCTGGGCGGTAGACCACTTCCGGCCGTACCTAGCGGGTAGACGGTTCAAACTGGTCACAGACTGTTCTGCCCTCACATGGTTGTTCCGGAGCCGTGAACTCTGCCCCAAGCTGCACAGGTGGGCGCTGCGGCTGATGGAGTACGAGATGGAACTGGAATGGAAGGCGGGGGTAGAGTACGTAGTGCCCGATGCTTTGTCCCGGTTGCCTGTGGCGAACCCGGTAGAGGTCGACGTCGACGATTCGTTTCCGGATGATCTGTCGTGTGCTGCAGGCGCTGCGGTAGAGATTTTAGGACCGGAGTTGAAGGGTGTAAGGCTGGCTGAGTTGGACCCTGTGCAGGTAGACCAGGTAGGCGATGCTGACTCCCAACCCTCTCACCTCACTCCGGAGGGGGCCGACTTCCATCTGTCTGCCCTTCGAGCGTTGCCTTTCGTTGCATGTGCGGCTGTAGACCATGAGCCTGATGCCCCCCGCCGCAGCGGCCGGACCCGTACCCCTTCGGTACGATTACGACCGATCGGCGACGCGCAGCTGCCCCCGACGAGTGTGCTGGAGGCCCTCCCGGACAGAGAGGTAATCGGCCCCTCCGCGGTGCAAGCCCCAACTCCAGCGCCGTCGCCATCGACACTGCCGCCGTCCCCCGTTAGTCCTGGCCACGACGACATCGGTGAGGTGCTGGCTGCACGGGGGGAGGTTACGACGTCGTCGTCGAGCCACGCGTTGGATGGAGCATCAGCCATCGATCTGACAGCACGAGTACTCACAAGGCCGTCCGAGCTAGCGCATCGGCAACGAGTCTACACCCAGCTGAGTCAGGTTCGCAAGGTTCTGAGCAATGTAGCTGACTCTAGCCAGGGGGTAAGTGAGCGTGACAGGTATAGCCTAGGCACGGATGATGTGATTCGGTACAACGATGGTAAGGGAAGAAAACTGCCTGCT